TCATTGGGGGAACTTCCTTGACATGCTTGCGATTACGTCGTAGTTCTTGTCCTCCTGGTGTGGTTACTGTATAAGAACGTGGAACTTTATCTAGCTTTTCTTTCACAATGGCAAGTTTCCAAGTGGAAGATACTGGATCTTAGATTCTGATAGGTTGACCTGGGACGAGGTCTGGAAGTGACTTACACCTCTATCATGATAGTGGCGTTGTCTCTCTTGCCTGTATTCAAGCCTTGCGGTGATATCATCATTGTTGGGGGCTTCCCTGGATTCTCCTCGAGAGATTATCTTAAATTGTATTGCTCATTACACGGAGCAGGGGGAGGACAAGGTTGATATATTTCTCTATGCTGACATTTTATCTTGCTGCCCTGTGAATAATTAGCTGGATACTTAAAGAGAGGATCAACATTTCAGTGATATTTTCTTGCAACGTAACTCTGATTTGTATTTCTTTTAACATTATTTTTTAAAACCTCAAATGAACTCGAAAGCCAATGCGAGCTGGTATTCAGTCCATCGAACTAATACCACACAACTTTGGTCGATCATGCCTACTGCAATAATTGTAATTCTCAAGAGTTAGCACTAAAACGTACATGGATTTACTGTGCTTTTCCTATGATTTTAATATCTTCAAGTAAGGCTTGACGAACTAGATTTTCTCTTCTAATGTAATAACTTACAAGTGAATTAGATCAAATTTATGACGTAGACGTGAGAAACCGATTGACCCTTAAGTACAAAAACGTTTTCGATCCAAAGGACCATTACGTGGTCAAGCAACAAAGTTGTTAAGACTAAATAAAATCAGGTCAATTAACTTCAGACAAGGATGTGTCCACAACTTGATGGTTTTAATCCTAATGCCTGATGTTATATTCTGGCCAGTATCCAAGTTTGTCCGCAATACATTTACGATATTCCTTTTCCTTATGATTGCTGTTTCTCTCACGAACCCACTTTATACGTAGGTTTTCGCCATCGTTAAGTCTAAATTTTGCTTTGACGTACTCGTCGATGGCCAAATTCCTTGGCTTATGCTCGGCCATCCTCCGGTGTATGTCTTTGCTACGACCCACATAGAGGACCAGTGGGTCTTGTTGGGGAACTATCTCTCCAATCACGTATATGCCTTGCATGCGAGGCACATTTTCAAGTTTTTAAAATTTCCATTGTTTATCCAAGAGACGTTGGCATATTGAAGAAACCATTTTTCACAAATCTTTATAACAGAAACAGAGATGATTCAGAATATCGAGTAATGAGAAGACTTCAAACTGATGATGACATGTTAGAGGTAACATGAAGTAAGAAAACGTTCTCGATTGACGAAACTCATAATGTATGATATCCTCGTTGGTACATTGATATGTTTGCCGTATCTGTTTGCGCGAACGGCGTCAAATCTTGGCGCCCAAGTCTAACGGACGAGTGACGCTCAGTGCAATTCTATATTATTAAAACAAGCCCTTGTTTTCACAAAAAAATAAGAGCCGATCGCGCAAACAGATACTGCAAACATATCAATGTACCTACGAGGATATCACACTTTATGAGTTTTGTCAATCGAGAACGTTTTCTTACTTCATGTTACCTCTAACATGTCATCAATGCAGTAAATGAATTATCGCTAAACATTTCCGTCATAAACATTTTGAAATAATTGAGGTTTATATCAATACATAGATAGACAGATGTCTACAAACATGAGCTAAATGCACGAATTTAGAGTCTGCTGGTTTCCACTTTAATAGAGAATTAACTGTTTCCCGCCCAAATGAACTACAGTGTCCCAAAAACAAATGAAAGCGTACCTTACCTCCTTGGACTGTGTTTACACGAGTTCAGAGTAAGCGACTAAACAATTATAACACTTCTCTTTATCAAAATGAAACTGTGTTGGCTGGCCAATGAGAAAACTCTAATATTACAACATCTCGAATTTTATTGGCTGGAAAGGAAAGGGACTTTCCCGTGCCTGACCTATATGTTTTTATCGTTGATATTATATTTGATTTTGCTTTTCTAAGAAATGGTCACATGGGTTATTTTCTCAGAAAGTTCATATTNCCAATCGAAAATAGCATTTTAAGCATCACTTAACAGTTTCAACAAAATGGTGCGACGACAAAAATCATTCTATACCACCGAAATAAGCTAAAAAACGGAAAATCTGGCTACAAGAGAGGATATCGCTGCAGAATCCATAAAACTCTCAGTAACATGACATAATCATCTTTGTCCGTCTCTCTATCGAGTTTATTATGGAGAACGTGTCCGTACAAACTACTTCAAATCCACTATAATGGAGAATACATAGTGTCACGAACGTACTTAAGCAGTATGTATACCAGTGGAGTCGACGTTCACGAGGAGCGATCTGGCGTTCGAGTGATTGATTTGAGATGTGACACTGTCACTTAACCCACCAATGAAATGAGGGCTGTAATGTCTACCGCACGAGTTGGTGACGATGTTTATGGAGAAGATCCAACAGTGAATGGTTTCGTATTTTATTTTTTTATTTTATTTTTGCATGGGGAGAATAGCTTGCAATTGATATGGCGGCAGTTGGAGTGGCTTGTGGTGTTCGTGAATTTCTCAAATCTTTAAATTGACAGTCAACCGAGCTGCAGTCGATCATCGGACAAATGTCCGGTAAATTTCAGGATACGACGAGCAAAGTTTAGCCTGGTCGGACAATCTGACCGTGAATGTCTGATACAATGAAGTATCTGCTTAACTCAAGGAATAAGGTTTTCAGAATTTGCATTATAAGAAATTTATGTACACCGTAAAAATAATTGATTTTGAAATCTTGGGAGTGAAAGGGTTTAAGATGAAATTTGTATTCCTGGGAAAATTTGGAGAAGTCAAAGAAAAGTCCATGAAATTTGATTCTTAAAAGAGGGTGTGAATCCTTAAGTAGTTACAATACAATACAATACAATACAATACAATGTTCTTTATTTCGAGAGGGTAGATACATGATTAACCCAGTAAAGAGTTTTCTAACACATAGCCCTCTAATAAACCC